TGAATTGGGAGTTTGGTGAACCAGCAGGGGTATACTAAAGTATTTCAGATATGCTGTGAAGTAGATGCTGAGGTTTGCGTGAACTCTACAAGGACATAGTGGTTTAATAGTCAGCCCTGACCGCAAGTGTTGGTTCTGTCATAGCAATACCTAGGTCAGCTGTAAAAATAAGTACAGAAGGCTCTGGGAGATTTACCTTGAGGATAAATTAGTTCTAAGGTTGAGGATGATGATCTGATATATTTGAAATGACCAGTGATGTTAATACAGGTTACAGGTTCAGAAGGTTTAAAGTAGAACACCTAGGCAGGGATGTTAGGTATGGCAATTGGTAAGGAACCTTTAGCTGGACTTCTTAAATAGGTAATATAGAAAAGTTATACATGTAGCCAATTGTACACTCTCTTGTAGTGGTTCATTGAACCACAATACTGACAAGTGATTAATAAAAGTCAAAAAACCAAAAAGGTCACCTTAATACCAAAAAAAAAAAAAAATAAATTCTATAAATATATAAATACACATGTCTTATTGTTTTTTTTGTCAATAAAAATAAAACAAAAAAAAATCTCTTCTGCTTGTGTAATTGATTATTATAATAATAAAAACTTAAACCTACTATCATGTTTAAAAAATTGAGATTCTGATGCAAATATTGATGGATTTAAAGCACCTATACCAGATGATGATGGTAGATTATACTACAAACCAATAGATGAAAGATACACATATATTTGAATGTTTCAACAGATAGATAAAAACCATCAAAATATCAAGTTGCATGATATAGTCATATATTTAAGTCTAATTTCATATCATCGATTAGATAGAACTGATGTTATGAATATACAAACAAACTCAACACAAACAGAAGTACTTACACCTGTTATATCAAATAAACTGAAACTAAAATTTTACTTTCTTGAAATTTGTGATAAAGAAATTGCAAAACAGAATAACCCTTCTATGGGTGACATATTTCTGAACAGAGATTTGCATAATATACAATTTAGAGAATATTTTAATCCTGTAATGGAATTTGAATATGATATTAAATGTGAAGGATGCCAATATGAACTACATGATTTTGTTTTTTGCTTAGATTTAGAAAAAATAAAAGTTTGTCAACTTGATAATGATGATTTATCAGTAGCTAAAACATTTAATATAGGAAAATATGCTTTTGTATTTGTAATTGATTATTTTAATTGGATGTATCAATTTAAAATAAAAAGTGGTAATGATGATGTGATAAAATTTGGAGAAACTTTCAATTCTGAAACTGGTAATTGTAGTATGCTATTGATGATTAATTTATTTGAAATTAGAATCTGCATAGAAACCTGATTTCAACTCTGGTAATCTGATGAGTAGTCTTTTTGATCTAATGCAAAAATGCTGTGAACCGAAAAATCCTACAGAAGAAGAAAAGAAAGATGAAGAGGAAGAGAATGTTACAGATAATGAAGATATTGAACTATAATTTTATTTATTGTATTTGAATTAAAATTATATAAATAAACAAATCATTTGTTATTTTTCTTTAAAAAATGAAATTTTTTAAAATTCTTATCATTCTGTTACTTTTTTTAAATGTGATTGCTAGTGCTCATGTCAAAGCTAAAACTAGATCTAAATCTAAAACTAGAGCTAAAGCTAAAGCTAAAAATCAAATACCAGTGCCAAAAAATCAAATATCAGTAGATGTAAATTATTTTTCATTACCTCAATTATATACATAGAATTTTAAAAAAGGAATATATAAAAGAGTATTAACAAAGAAAGGTACTATGTGTAAAAGTTATCCTGGAGGTTTGTATGTTCAAACATTTCCTCCTAAAGGTGAAAAAGCAAAATATGTGCCAGTACATAAACCTAAAGGAGCTAATATAAAAAGACCAAGAACATAAAAATCTCATCATTTTTTTTCTTTTTGTTAAACAAAAAAAACAACAAAAAAATAATTCCTGAAATCTTTTTGTTGCTTCTCATTTGTATAAGAATGTATCATAACAACTTGAATAACCAGACAATAATGGTTATCAATTATGATAATAAGAAGCTATTCGGATTTATTAATATAATAAATGAATCTATTATCGATACATTTATTAGCTCTACCAATAAATTTAAATATTATGAAAGAACACTTATATATAATAAAAAATTTATTGATGATTTTGATATAGATTTTGAGAAATTTAATATAGGAATAATAGATCATATTAACTTTATTTATTATTTACTCAAAAAATATTTGTAATATTTTTATTTATTTAAATAAAACATTAAAAAAAAAAAACTTTTTTTTTTTTAATAATCAAAAAAAAATAAAAAAAACTATAATTTATCATACAAACTTGGATTATCAAGTTTTTTTAATACCAATAAGTTCTTCACTTACTTTGATCACTTTAAATTCATAATAAAATGTATTTGTTAAACAAATTAAATGATGTTTAGATAGGTTAATAGATCTTTATAAAATCATATAAATAAAGAAATCAAACGTTATTTTTTCTTTAACATTCAAAATAAGTAAATGTACCATTAACAATAAAAATATAAATTGCAAATATCAAAAAAATGTTGGATGTAAATCTAAAGTTAATGACAATGAATTACTAAACTTGTTTTTTTTCAGAATTAGCAACAATTGAGTATCAAAAAGGTGATAATGTATTTACAAAAATTAAAAAAAAAATTCAAGAAACATTTGATCTTAAAGAATTAAAAGAAGATGGTAATTTAGATAAAGAAATACAAAATTCTAATCTAAATAAAAAACAAAAAAGTGAACTACAAACACTATATATCAATCAAGAAAGAATGATTATTAGATATAATGAAATCAAAACTAGAATTGAAGAAGAAACTAAAATCAATCGATTAAAAGATTTTCAATTCTGGTATATGCAAATTACTAGTATTCAAAATCTAACAGATAGATTAAAAGAAGAACTTCAAAAAATGAGAAAAGATAGATTTGATTTTTTAGTTGATTACATTGCAAAATTCAATAGAATTCAACAAAGAATTCAAGATAAAACAGAAATAGAAAGATTAAAAGATTTTTGGTTTTCTGAAATTACCAAATCTAAATTAGAAAATAATGATAAACAAAAACTTAATGAACTCAGAGAAAAATGTATAAGAGAATTAGAACAAACACAACTTGGCACAAATAATTTTAATTATATAAGAGATGAAATATGTAATGAAAAAGAAATACCAAATCTAGAAGTAAATAGACATTGGTTTAGAGAAATTAGAAATAGCAGAAACTTGTCTGAAGAACAAAAAGTTGCTTTAAATATACAACGTGATAAGAAATTAAAAACATTATCAAATGAAAAGTATAATAAAATCAATGAAGAAATTCCTAAAATTGAAACTGCTGACCTGTTAAATGATAAATGTCATATAGATATTATGATACGTGAACTCAAAAATGAAAATCTAAAAGATAATAGAGATGTAGTTACATTATAACAAAAAAGACGAGAAAGATATCAACTAATACAAAAGGAGGTTAAAATTTTAAGATATGATAGATATAAAAGACAAATTGCAAATTTTTACAATAGAAAACAAGTTGTTCCACTATCAAATAATAATGTTTTAGCAAAAAATATTGAAAACCTCAATTAAACATTAATGAAAACTGATAAAGATAAAAACACTTTAATCAACTTATGAAAATGTAGATATAATACTTTATTGTATGATGTTATTGAAAATGAAATGAAAGAAGATAATAATAAACAATCATTTGAAGATAGTGAAAAATATGATCTATTGATCCAAACTTTGGAAGGACCTTTTCTGGATTCACTACATACTGTAAATCAATTATAAGAATTAAGAAAGCAATTATTTTCTGAATGAAGGATTATACTAAATCAGAAAAAAATAGATAATATAAATGATGCTTTTGAATTTTTATTTAATGAAAAAGGAAAATATAAAAACAAAGTATCCTGTTTGATACAAGAACTGCTTTTAAGTTACATACAAAAATTTCCTTATAGTGATTACATAGAAACATTACAAGATGATAATTATTTTAATACTGAAATAAATAAACTAAATAATCAAAATGAAATAAATATTCTTCAAACCTTTGTAAAAAAGCTGCTGAAATTTATAAAGATAATGAACATGATCAATATTTTATTGATAAATCAAATAAACAATTCCATTCAATATATGAAATTGAAGATATAGATGAATTTGTTAATAACATAATCAAGAAAAATTATCTTTACAAAACAATAAAAGAAATATTCGATCAAGAAAATGGTGTAATAACTTTTAGTAAAATAGTTGAACCAAATGATAATGAATGAATTTTTTTTAAAAAAATTAGACCACTAGTAAAAAATCAAGAATATCTAAACAAAATTGATAAAATCTTAGGAAAA